GTTTTCATTTATTTCATATATTGGCAGATAATTTAATGCTTGAAAGCTAATCATTTGTGATCTCAAACTTACTTTTCCTCAACTCATATCTCATTAGATGATTAGATATATGTTTGATCTGATTCTATAATTCAGCCTGCTTGTATTTGCTTTTCTTCTACAAAAATAATCACAGAATCAAAAAAAGTGTAAGTGAAATGTAAGGATTTGACAGAAATAACCAAATCTTTTCACTTTTTGCTAACAGCTTTCTTTACATTAAAAATACGCAATTTCCAGCATTTTAACAAGTATTTTCCTTGCCCTTTAAATTTTGTTTCCATTCCGTTAAAGCAATTAGCTGGAAACAGTTATTTTTCAACAAAAGATTCCATTCACTTTTCTAGTATCATTTATCTATTTAGCATGTAAGAAAGTGATAAAATTTGAACTGAAATCAGCAATATTTGAAAAAATTTGTAAAATCCAACACGACTAATGTTTTTTGTAGAAAGCTTGTAGATGGCATGTGCTAGATTCTCTGTTTAATAAAAAGTAAATTTAAAGACCGGCATCAGCTTACAAAATGACAATAAAAGCAAGCTAAGTAAATTGCTTGATATGTTAAGATCGTATTCTGAAAAACTATTGCTCTTCTTAAAACCATCTATTTCGGGAAGTATAAAGTATTAGAAATGTCAAAATTCTACAAGATTTCTAACATTTTTCATAAGGATTGTGCATAATCTTTTTTTGCTTTGAATCATTGGTTAGCAGAAGAAATAAACTAAATATTAACATTCACCAACACATCCACAATCATTTTTTAGTAATTATGTTGAAGTCAGTGTACTACGTCTAGCATTTTTTAAGACGTTCAGTTTAAATTTTAGAAAACACGGATTACAAAATTAAAATTGCAAAATCTGACCAGATATGAACTCTGGTAAACAGATCCAACAACTATATTTATTTCTCAAATTTTCAGCTAGAAATTGTTCACCAGCACAAAAAATAAAGGATAAACAGAAAAAACCGAGCCTAGAATGATAAATGAAAACAAATGAAAACAGGTGAAGTTGCAAGAAGACGCTCGTGATGGATATGGGGAAGCGCTCGCCAAGCAGTGTACGGAAACAGCAGAAACGAGTGCACGGTGAATACAGTGAGAGTGACGGAACACGACCCATCAGTGAATCATGAACACATAAAAGAAGATTAACCTCCAGACTGCTGCTGAACATGATATTTATATTTATGTAGCACTTATTATAATACAAATCTGAGCGTGGGACAAGTACTGCCAAAGTGCTGGAATGCAATCCAGAGCCAGAACCAATAAAGCGAAAATTAAAACTAACCACCACATTTATTTATTTATTATCATTATTATATTTGGTATTGGTATTTTCTTTACCCAAGTTTGAGTAGAAATATTCCAAATATCTAATAATAAACAAAGCTGGATGTGTTGCGAGTAAATGACACGGTCAAGGAAAAGCGTTTTTAAAAGCTTGCAGGAATTTAAGTTCCAAAGAAATTGGTAAAAGTGGCTGAATATATATGCACGGACTTATATATATATATATATATATA